ACACACACACACACACACACACACACACACACACACACACACACACATACAGCTCTGCATATAACCATGATTCCATTAGCAAAACACCCTGACTGAGCTTAATCTACACTAAGCAATTGTTGCATTCAGACTGAGGAAAAGTCCCAGCTCTGATTACAAAAGAAACTCACCAATAATGCAAGCGGGTGGAATATGTGTCTAATAGTCAAAGGCTCGCCTTTACCATGTGGAACAAATCTTGTACCTCTGGATCTAACCAACCAGGTGGCTTCAAAGCCCAAAGTATCAAGTAAACCAAACACACTAGACAAAGAGCTGCTCTTCATAGCCTACTGTGTGCATTTGCTTGCTGTGGGGTTAACTGAAAAAGCCTTTCTGATCTGTAGTGCTTCCTAGGGAGTTTGAGCCTCTCTCTCTCTCTCTCTCTCTCTCTCTCTCTTTCTTTCTCGCTCTCGTTCTCGCTCTCACTCTCTCTCATAAAAGCAAGCAAAGGCTGTGAGAACAAGAATGTTATTTAATACCAAACAACTCTCTAACCAAATGAATGAGGATGACTCATGCACTCATAGTCAGTGAAAAATAAATCTCTCTCTCAAAAACAAAACAAACAAAAACACTACATATCAAAACAATTGAAGCTGAATCTCCAGGGCAGCACATGAGACTGAAATTTTGGTTCTTTCCTTTGGATGCTCAGGTTCAGTACAGCTGAAAAAACAGTGACGTTTAAACTCCACATACGCACACACTGAAGCTATTTAATAACAATTACAGTACCTAACTATCATCGTACTCTAAACTGTTTTATGTGATTTTGCTAATTAATTTTAATAGCTTCTCTGTAACTCCTAATGAATATTTTCAAACAACTCCTATGAAATACACAAATATTTTGGCAAAAACAAAAGAACACACACATAACCTTTGCCATATCTATGTCATCAGTGAAGTTCATACCCAGTGTTTGAAACTGCCATTAAATTAAAATTTTTGGCTCCATTTGCTGCTAAGGTATCAGTTCAAAGCACTCTTGAACTCTAATATAAAGTAATTAAGTCAGTGATAAAAGTTTTAACCCAGCACTCAACATCAAGGCTCTCCATTTACACAAGCACCCTCCAGTTTCATTTCTGGTGCCTCCTTCTTGCTCAAAGGAGGCATCAAAATTAGCTGGAGAATATCAAACTTGCTAGTCTCAGCAAAGAGGCATTCTTTTCCTTATTGATGTATCTAAGGTTCACTTTTAAAATGAACACTCAGAAGTAGTCTCATTCAGATGTTCACCATTTCTACATAACTAAAATTCCATTAAAACTCAAAATTTAATGGAGAATTATCCAAGGATGCGGTTCTTACCTGCATTGGAGCAGATAACATCTTGGGAGTTCCTGCACATCTGGTTGCTGAGTTTTTTGGTCAGGTCACACTTGGTTGGGTGCTGGCAAGCTTCCCCAGACCATCCCACTTCACACTTGCACTTGCCGCAGTGACAAGAACCATGGCCTGAGGGGTCAACAACATGTGGTGAGATTCAGATGGTTTTACCAAGGAAGGGTCTATTCAACAAAAACTCCCCAGGGAGTGTGGCTTCAAAACAGTGCTAGAATAAATTCAAATACATGTAACTGAGAGTGCCTGGTGGTTTGTTATTCTTCAGAGAGAGAGCATTAAGATTTTATTTCAATAGTCAACTTTGATAAGTGTTGGGATCAGTAAGCAGGCACTTCTATGGCCAGCTCCAAGGGACCTGATAGACCGGCTATCAGGCATTTGTAAAGACACCCTGACCACCTGGAATTACCTGCGCATGCCCTTGATCACCCTATAAGAGAACTGGAACCCTCCCCCCTCTCTCTCTTCTCCCTCTTCTGCTCTCTCTCTCTCTTCTCCCTCTTCTGCTCCCTCTCTTTTCTTCTTCCTCTCTGCTCCCTGATTCTCTCTCTCCTCCTCTCTTCTCCTCTCTCTCCCTCTCTCTCTTCCTTTCTCTGTCTCTGCTCCCTTCTTCCCCCTTCCCCTAATAAACCTCCCACGTGGAACCGATCTCGTGGCGTGATTTGTGAACCCGCGTGTAACCCGCATGTAACCTGTACATTCGCACGTTTCCTAACAATAAGTACAAATATTCAAGGAATTTACAAAGACAAGGAGAAAATGAAAAGGAAGTCTAATAGGTGATGGTAAAAAAAAGTCAGCCTTAAAAAATTCTTCCTACTCAGAATTTGGGACAGAAACCTCACAGGAAGTATTTATATTTAACTGTACTTTATAATAACTAAAAACATAATCCCCAAATGAACTCTTACATCACACATCACGATATGGTACACTGGACTGATATTTCTTTTTTGAATACATTAAATATTACGATGGAATTATGATAGACATTAAAGCGAGCATTTTTATTAATGAAATTTGGCTCCATCATCAAAAGAAAAGAGACACACCCTCACAGAATTGTCTCATCCTCCTTGTTTTCAATCATTTTGCCTTTACATGATGCTATTTAAATGGATATGAGCACAGGTTTTACTAAATCTGATTTGAGAAAGCATACCAATGTTTTTGTTGAGTGCACATTAACCGGCCCTAAGTTCAAATCACTTAAAATGCTTAGTCTAAGAATGTACAGATTTCAAACTCAAGCTGATATAATGGAAGTTGCAGAGGTTTTCATTCACCAATAGTTTTCATCTTCTGGTAGTAAGATATGACACTTTCTGACCTTCCTCGACCTTTAACTGGGCCTTGGAAGCTAAGCACAGCTTTGGTCGGTTGTGGGGAGTATGTTCCTATCTACTCAAGATAATAGCACTATGTCTTAATGTTTAAAATCATAGAGCTTATGAAGTGGAAATATTGACCTCATGTAAACAGTCTTTGGATGTAGTGGGAAAGAATCCACAGTGTCATTCAGAATTCACAGCTTGGGGCTGCCCATGTAAATGTTCAGCAGACCCTCAACCTATGACTGGGTGAGGTTTAAAACTTTTCTTCATGGAATCCAGTCTATGTACATTTTTATATTTCTACTGCACTTGTCAAATTAATTGTCCTATTTAACAAAATAATCCTCACAAGAACCCTATTAAAATTCATTTTATTCACATGGTTGGCCATACAGTCTTAGCTAACTTGGTGTCATTTACTAGCATAAGAGATTGTGCCTAGTTGATATCCAGTCTACTTATAAGACTATTAGGCCAAATTCTTGAAATGGACAAGCTTTTATTCAGTTGGTGAATAATCTCAGCATTATATTGACTCTTTAATTACACTAATATGTTAGGTGACCTGAATGTATTGTCTCTTCTTCCAGTTGTGTTTGAGTCATTTTTAATGGATAATCACAATCAAAAATGGTTCATGTCAACAGCAAAGGATATAGAACTTGCTCAGAAGCTAAATAAGTATGGCATCAGTGATTTTTTTTCATTCAAGAATAAAACAAATACATGATTCTTTTACATTCCATGGAACACCAATTATTCAAATTTAAAGTTGTGTCTGTGTGTGTATCAAAAATAGTCAACATTTGAAAGTTTTTCTGAGTCAAAGATTATAAAATTTTAAAAAGGGTATTAAATAGTAAGCTGGAGAGGACAGGAACCCCACAAGGAGAGCAACAGAACAAGAAAATTTGAACACAGGGGTCTTCCCAGAGACTCATACTCCAACCAAGTACCATGCATGGAGATAACCTAGAACCCCTGTGCAGATGTAGTCCATGGCAGTGTAGTGTCCAAGTGGGTTACATAGTAATGGGAAGAGGGACTACCTCTGTCATAATCTGATAGGCCTGTTCTTTGATCACCTCCCCCTGAGGGGAGAACAGCCCTACTAGGCCACAGAAGATGACAATGCAGCCATTCCTGATGTGATCTGACAGACTAAGATCAGAAGGAAAGAGAGGAGGACCTCCCCTATCAGTGGACTTGGGGAGGGGCATGCGCAAAGAAGGGGGAAAGAGGGTGGGACCAGGAGGGGAGGAAGGAGGGACTTATGGGGGGATACAAAGTGAATAAACTGTAATTAATAAAAAAGGGTATTAAAAATAGGGAAAAATAAAGGAAACTTACACAGAATATGGAGAGACAGTCTATGTCAAAATGACCCCATAGATCATCAGTGGAGACAAAGTCATATGAAGTTTGTTTCCCACAGTGGTCCTGGAGACCCAGATTATACGCTAGCATGATCTCTTCTTAACCAACTCTATGCTGAAGACTTATATCCAGGCAAGATCGTGTCTCATTTATAGAAACAAATGTTAAAATTTCATGTATTATTTTGTTCAACCCATAAGGTACAGCATCCACAATCTTGTTTTGTCTCACAGACATGTCACATGATTCTCACAAGAATCTCACAAGATTCTTTTCATATCACATTTCTGAAGCAGAGTGTGACCCCTAATCCAAGTGATCCAGAACCAGGTTGTCTTTTCTCATCTCTAAGGGTGGTTTTAGTTAGCCCATGGCTACACTGAGTCCTATCCAGAAAAGTAGTCTCCAAGCCTCACTCTATGGAAGGGGCATTCTTCTGCTTCTTTTCTAAAACTTCAGTTACCACAACTCTTAAATTCAGTATTTAAATGAGTAATGCAGCAAACTTGAGAACAGGCCCGTTGAACTTCAAGTAAGTTCTAAAGGAGTCAAGGGAAATCAAACACACAAAACAAAAGGTGCCAGAGAAAAGCAGACTCAGTCCCAGCCGATGCAGTGGAGACACTTGGCCATGGTAGAGAGCCAGCCACTGAGAGGAAAGGCAGATGCAGTGGAGTCCTGAGACCTGGGCTGCTTGTGAGCTAACTCTTGGCTTCTACAACAAGACAGAAAGCAAACAGGCTGCTGCCACTAGCTCATCACTTCCTGATGGATTATTTTAGAGGAGCAATTTGAAGGAGCTACAGGTACTGCTAGTGAGCTCCTTAGAAGCCATCAAAGAGCAACACAAAAACTGGATGTTTTCTACATGTACATAAGCTGTTTCCAACTTGTAACAAAAATTATGTCAGTACTAAAAAGATTTGAAAATCAATTATCCATTTGCACACAAATGAAAATTTGTTATACTTTTCTCTATTAAACAAAAGGAGGGTATCAGTTAATTATCTCATATCTAATGATATCTTGTAGAGGAAAGGAATTTCAAGATACACACCACAAGGATCATTTTCAGTAGTGAGCAAGTCCACTACACATAGTCCCAGGATATTAACAACAACTCCTCTATGACTTAGAAGACTCTAAAGAAGTACATCATAAGTACACATGTGACAACGATGAGGAAAGGAACTAAAACAGCACAAAAACTAAGCAGAGACCTGGAGAAATCCTTGGGTGCAAACAGGAAACGTGAGAAAACTGGATGAAATCAGTGAAGTTTGCAATCTACTTTTGTGATTGCATTGTGGCCACATATGATATTGTGTGCAAGAGGGGCTCAACTATGTTTTCTGCTCGTCAGGGAATCTAAAATTATCTCAGAATCCAATGTATGAAAACATGAACACTCTGTATGTAATAGAGCCTAATTTCTAGCTGAGGTTCTTAGAACTAACTTCAACTAACAGGAAAGGTTTATTAGGTAATATATACTACAGTGTATAAATTTGGAGCATATTGATACAAGCTTTATCAAAGGTATTAAGGAGTAGCTGCTGCACATATCTATTTTTTTTGACTAAATTTTAGTTTTTTATATTAATCATACTTTATTCACTTTGTATCCCAGCTGTAATTCCCTCCCTCATTCCCTCCCAATCCCACCCTCCCTCTTTCCTCTACTCCCATGCCCCTTTCCAAGTCCACCAAGAGGGGAGGTCCTCCTTTCCTTCCATCAGACCATATTTTTTTAACTTTTATTAATTACACTTTATTCACTTTGTAACCCTCGAAAACCCCTTCCTCCTCCCCTCCTAATCCCACCTTCTCTCCCCCTTCTTTACGCATGCCCCTCCCCAAGTCCACTGATAGGGGAGGTTCCCCCTCTCCTTCCTTCTGATCTTAGTCTATCAGATCTCATCAGGAGTAGCTGCATTATCCTCTTCTGTGGCCTGGAAAGGCTGCTCCCCCCTCAGGAGAAGGTGATCAAAGAGCAGGCCAATCAGTTTATATCAGAGACAGTTCCTCTTCCCATTACTATAGAACCCAGTTGGCCACTGAACTGCCATGGGCTACATCTGTACAGGGGTTCTAGGTTATCTCCATGCATGGTACTTGGTTGGAGTATGAGTCTCTGGAAAGACCCCTGTGTCCAAATTTTCTGGTTCTGTTGCTCTCCTTGTGGAGTTCCTGTCCTCTCCAGATCTTACTATTTCCCACTTCTTTCATAAGATTCCATGAACTCTGACCAACAGTTGGCCGTAAGTCTCAGCATCTGATTTGATAGTCTGCAGGGCAGAGTCTTTCAGAGGCCCTCTGTGGCAGGTTCCTAACTTGTTTCCTGTTTTCTTCTTCTTCTGATGTCCATCCTCTTTGCCTTTTGGGATGGGGATTGAGCAT